ATAGATGCAGAAAAAGTATTAACAAAATTCAACACTGATTCATGATAAAAACAGTCAACAAACTAGGAACGGAAGGGAATTTCCTCAATCTGATAAAGGGCATCTATGAAAACCCACAGCTAACATCATATTTAATGATAAAAAATTGAATGCTTTCCCCTTAAGATCAGGCACAAGACAAGATTCTTTGCTCTCTTAAGATTGTACTAGAGATAGTGTACACGCAGTAAAATTTTGCTGGATATTGCTGACATAGCATCCAAAAATGAACTGTTTAATTGTAATTGAGGTTGAACACTTCTCATATGTTGTTATTTTCAATAGTATTTTTGCATGCTGCCTGTTTATGTCTCGACCTGTTTTTATTTGCTCTTGGTTTTTGTATTGATTTATGAAAACTTTTTATATATTAAGAACCCTGTCTATATATTTTATGTATAAATGTTTTGCAAACTTTTTTCAGTTTGTCATTTGATACTTACTACTGATATTTTTTACCGTCTTAAATATTAAGTTAATTGCATTTGTTTTATGTTTTACATCTTTGTTAGAAAGGGTTTCCTGCTTTCAAGATTTAAAAAATAAATCCCTGGCTTGGTTGTTATAATATTTAAATTTTGGTCCATCCAGAATTATGATATAAAGATGACTATAGGAATCCAGCTTGTTCTCTCTAATAGTTGACCAATTGCTCCCTCACCATTAAAAAGAAAATCCGTCTTCTTCTTATCATATTGCAATGCCATTTTATCATTTATTAAATTACTATCTGGGTTTTTAAAAAATGTGTATTTGGGTTATTTATCATATTCCATTTCCATTGTTCCACGTAGGGAGAGGCAGTCCAACATGAGTCCTGACCATGCCTGAATAATCTTGCAGAGTGTGCAAGGCTCACATACTTCCTGATACCGAGCAGTCTCCGCATCTAGTTACACAGGTCAACACTACCCTAGAACTGTTCGCTTCCCGGGACAGGAGCTGGGGGAGACGGGCTTGTTCATTACTTGCTACAATGTTTACTGTTTGCTCAAAAAATGCTAGGCCCTTTGCCCTGGATTCCTCCCCTTAAATAAAACCCTCTGCACATGCAGGTGTCATCTGGGCTCATGGCGCAATCCCAGCGGAATTTGTGGGCAAAGGTAAGCACTGCAGATATGCTGATGGTCATGCTGCTTGTTGTATTGTGCATAAAGAAGTCTTTCCTCTGACGAGGGAGCTTCACATCTCCTGTCAGCATCCTTGAAACAGTCACAGGCTAGCTGATTAGCTTGTACATACAGTAAAATCTCAAACTCTTCAAAGTTTTTGGCAATCTGAATGTTTATTCATGTTAAACTGTTTTAATTATTATAATTTTAAATATACATTTTAATAAATGGTAGGATTATGCCCTCCAATATTTTCTCTTCATTAAGTTTCCTGATCGTTTGATGTCCTTGTTTAACCTGAAAATAAAACCTGGCAGTAATTTTGTTGGGTTCACTTTGAATAAAAATAAATTGATTTAAGGAGAATGAACATCTCCAAAATATTTCTAAGAACTAGATATGTGTTACTATTTATTCATGTATTTTGGTATGATGCTCAATGGCAGTTTTTTAAACTTAGGCCCTGCATACTTTGCTAGTTATATTATTTTGTAGTTTATAGTTTGTTTTATTCTTAAAGATTGAATTTTTAGATGACTTTTTTATATTGGTCAAGGTGGCTAGATTATGTTGTGAAAACAAAAATGCCAAAATTTCAGTAGCTTAAAACAGTTTTTTTTCTTACATACACTAGCTACGCTTCTAACACGGGTTGTTGGGAGGGGAGCTCTGGGTCGAGCACGGATCTCCAGCTGAGATATCTGTTATCACTCAGCACCTAACTGCTGAGTCAATGCCAAATACTTGAGGATTTTGATTCAGGAGCATCCACTTTCAGTAGCAGTTTTTGTGTTAGATAACTCCAGCTCTCATACCAGTGAAACACTCAAAAGTCAATGACTTAACACATAAAAATTTTATTTCTTGCACACATAATAATTCAGTTTATGTTTTTCAGTTAGCCAGAATGACAAAGGCTCATTCTATTACGTGGCCCCATCATCTTCAACACAGGGTTCCTAGGTGTCTCTGAAGGTTGTCTTTATTCTATTTGTAGGAGGAGGAGAGACACCTCTAACTGCAAGAGAGAATGTGAAAATAGTCCAACTGTGGGTCCGGGAAGAAACTAAAATGTACGAAAAGCTGATCGAGAGCACAAAATTTGCTAAGCTTGTCATTTGCAATATCTTGGAGACTGAGCGTGTGTCAACTGAGGCCGTAGCTACAGGAAAAGTAGTTGGAAGAGCCTCAGTGGCCTCTAGCCTGCTGTGGCAAGAAAGATACGAGCTTAAGCAATAACTGCCAGGTTTTTCAACAGAACTTGGAAGAATTGGAACAGATTCGAGAAATCAATGGCCTTATAGGATTAGAAAATGAAAGTGATTCTGAGCCTCCAACAGTAAGAGGTGATTGAAAAAGGCTCCAAGTGTGTATTAGTCTGCCCAGGCTGTCATTACCAATACCAAGCCTAGGGAGCTTCAACAACAGGGATTTATCTTCTCACAGTTCTGGAGGCTGGAAGTTCAAGATTAAGATGCTGTCAGGATTGATTTCTGGTGAGACCTCTCTTCCTGGCTTCTCCCTGTGTCTTCAAGTAGGCTTTCCACCGTGTGTGTGCTGAGAGAGAGCTCTCTGGCGTCTCCTCCTCTTCTTACAAGGACACCAGACCTTCCAGATTATGAACTCACTCTTAAAACCTCATTGAAGCTTAATTAGCTCCCCAGGGGCTGCATCTCCAAATACAGTCACATTGGGAGTTACGGCTTCAACATATGGACTTTTAGGGACACAGAAGGGCGAACAGAGTCAAGTTTTGCTGGCCTGTAAGCCATTTTGTCTCTTTGATATGATTTTTCAAATCTGTTTTAGACTTTGCTGTATAGTTGTCTTTTCTACCTAATTCCCAAGTTCTGAGAGAAACCTCACTTTTGATCCACATACTGGCTAGATTCAGTTGTCTGGAAATTACTTCTCTTCTGCCCATATTCAATTCCCCCTGAAGCAAAGAGTGCAAATTTCACAGGTCATCTTCTGTAAAATTGGTTCAAGTTGCTACCTGGCGCTGGTGGAGTTATTCTTGGTTTGCTGACTCATCATCTTTCTCATTATCCAAGATTAAGGTGTGCATCCTGAATGATGGTGACTTCATCAAGGCAAGTGTGATCTTTTGGTCCTTATTAAGGTGGTCAGTCTCTTTTTCCCAAGCTGTACTTATTTATTTTACTATATATACTTAAAATAGTTTAAGATTAGTTTAAAATTCCAGAACCAGGCAGACTTTATCTCAGGCTACTACAATAATTCTCAGATATATTATCAACACTATTGTAATAAAACCTTACAATACAGTCTTTATAATATAATGGAATATGGGAAGTTTTCAGAATATTATTGATTAGTAATGCCCTGATTTTCCAAAAGAGTATTCTGGAAGCTGACCTGAGATGATTTTAATACATAAGTCCAGCAAAATTCCAGATAGGATTTTAGAAATAATTGTCTTCTATCATCTCAAAACACTCATCAAAACAAAATTTATCTGATGCAGGAATAAACAAATTAAGTGCTAAAATGGGGTATAACAAGAGCAGAATCGCCAGGAAAGCAATGCAATGACTAGAGAGTTACCTCATCAATCAGGAATAGCAAAGAATAAAATAAAATAATCAGGAGGAAGAAATTGATAGATATTGCCTATTAAGATATTAAGGAAGTGGTCCATGAATTGTCCATCTTAATTCCAAAAGGATATGAAAGAAGTTGAGATTCAGGGCATCTGCTGATGGGGTATTGAGTGAGAACTACTATTATTATAACTGTAAGCCTATTAAATGCATTAAATGCAACGCTGGAATCGTCTCAGAAACTTAGGTTATATCAAAAAGTTCTTAACAGGTCAAATAGATCATATTCAAGAGAGAAAGAAAGAAAAAGCCCTGGGTTTGTATATATAAGAAAACTTTATAATGGCAAAAGAAGGAGGCATGGATTTACAACTCTAGAAAAGGAGGGGGGGAGGAGCAGGAGCAGGTCATCTTGGGGGAAACTGTCCGACTTCAAGATCTCTGTGAACCAATACTGTCTCTCAGATACTCAGAGCTGCCACGCTGGCATCAACATCGCCCCCAAAAGCCATTGGAAGTGAAGACAGTATTCACAGAATTATAGAATTTGAGTCTAGAGTTGTAATTATCCCACACTCTTTGGGCAAGAACTCAGCTGGAAGGATTATGTGAGATTCTGAGTGCCATGTTTTCAAAGGACACAGAGCTGCTCTATGTGTAGAAGGGCTGAGCAAACCCGGTGGTGAAAAATTTGGGACTATTTTACAGGATAAATAGTGAATAGACCCAATAATATTTCATCTTGGAATGAGATAGCTTTGAGTTAAATATGATGGTTGATTTATTGAATTAAAAATATTTGAAGGGTTAATATGTGGACATTGGATTAGAATTCTGTACCTATACATTATGCTCATCTAGGAATCCACCTGCTTTCTGGAGACTCCTCCAAGACTAATATTTTATAATTCTAAAAGTTAAAGATTTCAATTAATCTGTGCAAAATCGTTCAGAATAACAAGGACTAAGCTTCGGAAATATGGTAGCTTTGAACCAATGTAAAAACTTCCTTAATAGAATCACAATGTAGACAGGTTAGGAGTACAAACTCTTGAGATAGACCATCAGGTTCAAATCTCATCTCCACCACTTACTGTGTGACAAATGGCAAATTACCCTTTCTGTGCCTTAGTCTGCCCACCCATAATAGTAGCACCTAAATCATAAGTCTATATTGAAGAGTTAAAATATGACTTAAAATGCTACCAGGCATATCGTAAATTCTACATAAATGTTAGCCATTATTATTCTTAAAGTTGTTGGGCAACAGAACAGGCTGTCTTACGAGCAATCACGCTGGTGGGGCCATGTTGGTCAATCTTGCTCAATGATTCCTTGATTTCTTTGTCTCTTCGTCATAGAGATGAACCTAGTTGGAAAGATATGAATAGGAAATAGTCATGCCTAAGAGAGTTCGGTGTCTTCCTGCCTCTATCCTACAAGAGGAGCAAGGGAGAGTGGTGAAGGTGCTGGTTTTCCCACAGGAGAACCATTGATTTTTGTAAATAAATATAAAGTTAAAATAAAGTATAAGTACTGCCATCCAGAAAACTTTACAGAGTAAACAGTTGAATGTAAGCCACTGGATTAGTGTCATTTCTATTGTGCAGGGGAGTGAGAGTGAGGCAAGATGACTTCTAGTCCTAGACGCAGATGCAGCGTCTGGATTAGCACACAGGCAATGGATCTTCCATCGCTGATTTCGAATGCCATCAACTCGCAGCACACCAGTGGAACGAAATCACCTCCTCATACAAAGTAAATCACTAGAGCTAAAGTTATTGGACTATCACAAGATGAATTAAAATTTATCTGCTTTCTGAATGAAGCATTTGAAATGCAAAAGCAAGGCTGATGTTTCCGTCTCCCTCTCAGAGGTCTGGCCTGGGCCTCTCCTACAGCAATTATCACCATCTCCCAGTTGATCTCTTGGCTCTGAAAGCACGTGATGTCGTATCATTTTCACATAGCCAAATGTTTTATCAAAGCACCTTGCCCAAGAAGTGAACTCAAACATTTTTGAATACATGCATGAAGTTACTTGTAAAAGCTGAAAGTATTGGATAGTGTTAGATGAACAAGAGTTTTCGTTAATACCTGTTTGTGCCCTCATTGAAGCTTGATATTGGGACATTTATAAAAAAGTTAAACAATTAAGCTCAGACTCTGAGCTTATTGAAAACATGAATGATTTCTAATTCACATCTGCATTCCAAGTTTCTCCTATGGTTCCAGGCACATATATAACAGTAGGTGCACAAAAATGTTATCAAATTCAGGCCCAATCTGATCAATTATTGAAGATTATCTGATACAACTACTACTAATAACAACAACAATCAGGAAAATAGCTTTTGATATTTCTTAAGATCTTTTTATAATTCACCAGGGCAAATACTTAAAATGCATTATTTTATTTAATCCTCACGGCAAATCTATGACATATGTATTGTTAAACACTGTATGAATCTAACATAAGGACACATCACTGGATTTAGGGCCCGTCCAGATAATCCACTCAAGATCCTTAAGTTATTTATATCCACAAAGACCCTTTTTCCAAATTAAGTCATATTCACAGGTTCTGGGGGTTAGGATATGGACACATCTTTTTGGGGGCCATCATTCAACTCACTACACTGTTATAACAAAAGACCATACGCCTAGTGGCTTAAACAATACAAATGTATGGCCTTACAGCTCTATATGTCAGAAGTCTGCTACTAGGCTCACCAGGTTAAAATCAAGATGTTGGCAGGACTATGGTCCTTTCTGGAGACTCTAGGATTGAGTCTGGTTCCTTGCCATTTTCAGCTTCTAGAATGCACCCACATTACTTGGCTCATGGTCTCCTTCCTTTATCTAAAACAAACCACACTGCATGTGATGCTTCTGTCATCACATCTGTCTCTGACCACAGGTAGGGAAGGTTTTCTACTTAACTTGACCACGTCTGCAAAATCCCTTTTGCCATGTACAGTAACATATCCAGAGGTTCCAGAGATTAGGACATGGACATCATGAGGGGGCTATTATTCTGCCTACTGCACAATGTCTAACACCTGGTGTTACTTCAGAACCATGTTTGAAGACAGATTTAAAGATCAGTGATGCTACTACCCTCACAGGAGCTGAAGATAGTGTCCTTATCAATGGAAGCCCGCAGACACATCCCAGACAACCAGAAACGTGTCTTATCAGGGCTACAGTCCCTGTTCTGCTAGTCTTCTTCGGCTCACTGCTATTTCCAACATAAGCTCCAGATCGTCCCTGATGAAACCTAAACCATCTGAAGAGATGTGATCGTTATGAAACTCCTATTCAGACCAGGCCATGGTGGCTCCTCAAGGTGCCACGATGGTGGACAGCTCTTGCACAGGATCATCGTCACCCACAATAAATTTGCTCTGCTCCACCAGCGCTATAGTTCTTTAAATACGTTAACGTGAATATTTACCTAAGGGGCAAGATGGTCACTGGGATGGCTGCATTGAGACAGACTCCTGCTGTCCCTTGACTCATGGACCCTAAACTGCCAATCCCCCTTCAACTGTGGTCTGTTGTCAGGGAAAAACAAGTCTTGCTTTTGTCTACAGAAGTGACATTCCCTGGCCAGGGCCTTTGGTGAAGGTCATCCTGGTCTAACTGAACAGGTTTTATTTTATTTTTTTTAAAGATTTTATTTTTTTCCTTTTCTCCCCAAAGCCCCCCGGTACATAGTTGTGTATTCTTCGTTGTGGGTCCTTCTAGTTGTGGCATGTGGGACGCTGCCTCAGCGTGGTCTGATGAGCAGTGCCATGTCCGCGCCCAGGATTCGAACCAACAAAACACTGGGCCGCCTGCAGCGGAGCGCGCGAACTTAACCACTCGGCCACGGGGCCAGCCCCTAACTGAACAGGTTTTAAACACTGGACTTATCAGAGATTGTATGAAGCCAATTTCTTTCCAAAATTTATTTTAATAATTTTGCCACAATTAGTTTCTGTTGGATGAAATTTAGAAAGCTGACTGATACAGAAACTTTCTCAGTCTGTTCAATATGCTAGATTTCATTCTAGAGAAAGGCTTAGTCTTTCAATGTGATGTTAATTCTCTCAGACACTTCCGTTTTGCCTCTATATGTTGAAATATTTTAATTATAATATTGCTGCTTTCCATCAAATTGCAATGACCTAATATGTCATTTCTCTTTGATGTCTAGTTAGTATCTGGCCTAAAGAACCAAAAAAAAAAAAAAAAAAAAAAGCAGAAAAATTCAGTCTAAAGAATGACAAAAATAAAATAGATTGTCTACAGCAGGTCATAAGAGAGACACCACAGTCTATTACAATGACCTTCTGCAATTTCATTAACATCTCTGGGTATCAGTTTCTAAATTTTTTATTGTGACAAACAAGGGATATGAAACCCAATATTATATGTAGAAATGTTATTATGCCTCTCATTTAGTAGGTACTTGATAAATGATTGTTGACACAACATAGATCTTGATAAAATTATTATTTTATATGATTATTTATGATTTTCAATAACAATTTTGAAAAAGATTGAAATCTTGTAGAAGAACTAACATCTGGTTCAGAATGATTACTGTATGTAGTTGGGATGTTATGAAGGACAGCATAAATCCACAGCATTCTAAGATCCAAGTCTTACAATAGATCCCTACTGGTTAAATATGTAAAAATGACTCTTTTACTCTTTAAAAAATTTTCTGCTTTGGAAAAAAAGAACTATGAGCTAATGGGCTGCCTAGTGAAACAAAAGAGCTCAGTGCTTAATTTATTACCTGACTGTTTCTCTTGATCCCTAAAGATCACCTCCTGCATTGACCTGGAATGCACTGACCATGAGCCAAGCCCATGATGTAGGTCTTAAGCATTTATAATTATTAATTCCAGATTTGGGCTTTGAGACTTGTATCACTCAAGGTCCAAACAGGAAAATAGAAAACTCTCTAAGAATTTAAAACAGAGGGGATTTGGTTGCACAAGTGAAGAGATGGCTGAGAAGTCAAATAGAGTATATAAAGGCAACCCAGAGGCTAGCAATAGCAGGAAGCTACCATCAACCTAGGCTGCAGAGTCAAAGGGAGAATGTGCTGTGAAATTCTAGGGGCTGAAGTCACTAGAGGAAGCTAGAAACACATTAGCCCTGTCTGGTGTGAACTAGAGCCATAAGGAAACAGAACTATGGCTGGAGACACCACCCAAGGTGAGAAAGAGAAAGTCATCACCCAAGGCAGAGACAGAGGGAAAGAGAAAGAGAAAGACAGAGAAAAAGAGAAAGAGACAAAAAGAAAGAGAAAGAGAGAGAGAAAGAGAAAGAGAGAAACAGAGAGAAAGAGAAAGAGAGATACCAGACAAAGACAGAAAGAAAGAGAAAGAGAGAGGAAGAGAGAGAGAAAGAGAAAGAGCGAGGGGGAGGAAGAGAAAGAGAAAGAGAGAGAGGGAGGAAGAGAAAGGGAAAGACAGAGAGAAAGAGAAAGAGACACCAAATTACCTTGGCATCTTTCTCCCATCCTTCAGTCTCCTGCAAGTGCCTTATATTGGCTGAACACAACCAAAAGTCAGCTGGGTAAATGCAGTCTGCAGGGATTAGCTGCTGTGAAAAAGAGCAGAAACGGACCGAAAATATGGATCTGAATGCTAATAGGTCCAGAACTGGCTCTCTGCCTAGAGGAGTATTATTTGCTCCCAGAATGGATCCAGTTCTTACAAAACATTCAATAGAGTGGGAACCAAAGTAAAGGCATCGTGGGTCTTCCTAAAGTTCATTCCTCAAGTTCAGTAAGGTCTAACTTTATCAACTCCATCAAGAAATCCAGTGATCTTACTTTATTCTCCACTGTCGCCTTTCCAAATCTTTCTCTTGAATTATTGCAGTAGCTACCTCAGTAGGCTCACCATCTTTTATACTGTGGAAAGTCTGATGGCGCTCATCAGACGAGAATTCTTTTCCAATTACAAAGTGGATTACATGGCTCTTCACTCATCACTTCCCTCCTCAGTGCCTTCCTTTGCTCCTGGAATAAAGATCCCCATCTATGACTTGACTGTGAGGCCCTCTGTGGCTGGCCTTCCAGGTGCATTTTCTCATACTTTGTTTCAACCGTTCTGGCATTTTTATAGCTAAAAAACATGTACCATTTTACCTTTCATTAGAGGCTCATCACATGGGATAGTCCCTCTACTTGGAATGCCATTTACCCAATTAACTTTAACTCTTTTTTTCGGTCAGCACTCTCTGACCGTGGTTATGTGTCTTTAAAACACTGTGCACCTTTCCTCATAATTAGTTACTACATATTGTAATTACATGCTTGAAATGGGGGTGTTTCATGATGGCTAGTCTACCTGAGAGAGTCCTAGGTTCTTTCTCTTTCCCAAAACCAACGTCCTTCTCTGCTCCCTTCTTGTGTGAGCCTTTGTCAAAGTCCCCCTCATGGAAATCACGTTGGGGGCTTCCCGCTCCCTCCTGCCAGGATTCTGCCTGGCACACACTCTTCTGGTTTCACAGGGCAGTAAAGCAGTTTCTTTCTGTTTTGACATGGGCACAAAGTCCCAGAGTGTGAATCAAGGGAAGAGATGGAAGGGAACAGATATATCCATGCATGTAGCACGTGCAGTCAGTTGACTTTGGACAAAAGTGCCTAAGCAATTCAATGGAGGACAGTCTCTTCAAATAAAAGTGCTGAAAAGTTAAACAGCCAGAGATGAAAAAAAAAAGCACAAATCAAAGTATACCTTTATTTCATACTATGTGCAAAAAATTCACTTGAAATAGATCATACATCTAAATGTAAAAGCTAAAGCTACAAAACTTCTAGAGGAAAATATAGGAAAAATCTTTGTCATCTCGGGTTTGACAAAGATTTCTTAAACATGACACAAAATACATGAATGGAAATACATGAAAGGAAAGTTAACAAATTAGACTTTATCAAAATTATACTCCTTAGCTCTTCAAAATATACTCTTGAGAAAACGATTATGCACACCATAAACTGAGAGAAAATATTTGCAAAACTATTATCTGAAAAGCACTCATATCTAGAATCCGTACCTCTTAGCACTCCACAATAAGTCGACGTGCAGCAGCACTGAAAAGTGGGCTAAAAACTTGACACACTTCTCCCAGGAAACACACAGATAGCAAAAAATCACATAAAAATAGGTTCGGCATAATTAATCATTAGGGAAACGCTAATGAATTTCATAATAACAGTCCACCATCCTCACAATAAAATGGCTAAAATTTGAAAGGCTGACCACTCTCCATCTTGGAGAACATGTGAAGCCCCTTAAACTCTCATCCACGGCCGGTGGGAACGCAAAATGGTGCCGCCACTCTGGAGATAGTTTCACAACTTCAAAAGTCTTAAACATACATTTACCCGATCACTCAAACATTGTTCCAGGTATTCACCCAAGACAACAAAAGCTTTGCACTCAACGATCACAATGGCTTCATTTGTAATACCCAAATCTAGGAAGAAGTCAAATGTCCATCAAAATACGAATGAGTAAAAAAATTGCGGTTTATCATACAACAGAATACTATTCAGCAATAAAAAGGACAACTATTAATACAGACAGCAGTGTGTCTAAATCACAAAATAAACATACTGAATGGAAGAAGAAAGACCAAAAAGACAATATACTATTAGATTTTACATATATCAAATTCTATGAAATGCAAACTCATCTATAGTGGCAGAAAACAGATCAGTGACAAAACCCAGAATGGGGTGAAGGAGGGTTAAGAAAGGGAGGAAGGGATTACCAAAGAGTGCAAGGAAATTTTAGGAGGTGACAGATACGTTCTTTAACTGGATTGAGATGATGGTTTCATCTGCGCATATATTTACCAAAATCCATCAAATTTTAACCTGAAATATGTACAGTTCATTGAAAATCAATTATATCTCAATAAAGCTGAAAAAGAAAGAAAGGAAAAGAAAAAGAAGAAAGAAAGAAAGAAAAAGAGAGAAACAAAGAAAGAAAGAAAGAAAAAGAGAGAAACAAAGAAAGAAAGAAAGAAAAAGAGAGAAACAAAGAAAGAAAGAAAGAGAGAAAAAAAAAGAAAGAAAGAAAGAAAAAGAGAGAAAGAAACAAAGAAAGAAAGAAAAAGAAAGAGGGAAAGAAAGAGTCTTCCTGCCCAGTGCTGTACACTTAAAAAAAAATGAACTTAGTTTGGAGATCATTTTATTCCAATACATAGAAACAAGCTTCTTCCCCCTTAAACCATTGTTTTGTAATCCACTGGACGGATATATCATAATTTATTTAAATTTCCCACTGATATATATTGGACGTGTTTCCAATCTTTTAGTGTAAATAACACTCAGGTGATGAACAGACTAGTATATAAATTATTTAACATGTGTTCAACAATATCATAGGAGAAATCCACAGAAGTGGGTTTATGAGATCAAAGGTTTTATATATATTATATATTGTATATTACACATATATATTTTGCTGTTATTTGCCAAATTGACCTCCATAAGATTTGAACCAATTTACTCTCGCACAGCTTTATTTCTCCATTATTCACATTATACATCAATTTCCCTCTTTCGTATCTGAAGCCCTCCCCACACTTCTGAAAATACCTCCCAGTCATCAGTGTCTTCTTAATTCCGTGATTAAAATAGCTCTCAAATTCCACTGGCCTTGCTTTAGTTAAGACTTTTATTAAGACACTGAGACTCTTGAATAGACACTTACTTGGTCACTCCGACATCTCTGTTTCCTGTTTATCCGTCTTGCACACAATCACCACCTGTCTCGAATCATAGAACAGTCACATCACTGTTCTGGCGAACTCCGTCCAAGCTTCGCCACTAACCGCAGAACCCGGATATAAACACGTCCAGCTTTCCCGGATCTGCAGTCAGCTAGCCTTGAACATTTCTTCCTCCAAGAAGATTCTCACCACCTGCACGTTTTGCTTTTAACCTGCACTGAAATGGTGTCTGCCAAACACGCTGCTCTGTCACACTGCTCTGTCCTTGAGCCGCATTTGTGTGACCGGGGATGCCTCTCCCTCCCCTTCTCTGACTAGGGAATTTCTACTCTTCCATTAAGACACAATTAACTGTGGCATCAGTGATATGTGACTAGTCTTCTTGATGTTGCCCTTCACACCCTTCCTTCAAATAATCACAAAAAAAAAAAAGAGAGAAAAAGAGGAAGTCATCAATTCTGAAAAAGGAAGCATCTTGGAGGCAATCCTATTCACTGAAAGATTCATGACGCTGAGTTGAGCAATCACAATTCGTGATCAATAAAGTCTTTGCTCAGTGCATTAGCAAAACCACCTCACCCTTCCTAGACAAGGCGATCAGAAAACCACTGGGTCAAAGATAGTGAGGGAAGGCAGGCAGTGGCAACAGGAAGCTTCCTAGCTGACATGCCTGCTGGCGGTTGTGGTTTTGCACTTAATAAGTTTTATTTAAAGCGTCGGAAAACTGAGGATTAAGAGAAAATTTATGTCAGTTTACTTGCAACCTGTGTATACTTATTAAACTCTGGAAATTGGGGCTTTTGTCAAAATGCGATTCTGAGAGGTTGTTTTTATCACCATTTAAGTCAGAGTATTTAGAACTAAGAGGAAACCTACACTGTTTTGGACAAGTACTGGGCCTTCATAGATCTCTGTTCTTTGATCGGTAAGCAGAAAAAGATTAACAATATTCTTATTAAGGAAAAAAAACTACAGAGCAAAGAAAACAAAAATCATAGTTGACAGAAGAAAAAGGTACCCCTCAGACTTATTTACTATAGATATCAGAATGTATTTTTAAAAAGTTACTTTATATTAGTCTTATTAGGCTTCAAATGTTTTAAAAGAAAAAAAAGACTATTTCAAGATAAAAAACCGCATTGAACTTTTTCAAGGAAACTAAAACTTTGCAGTAGAATTAAAATCCATGTTGTTGGCAGTGGAGAAATCTAAGTGCCGCAACAAATTATGGTAATTAGGAAAGTTATGGCTAGACAAATCCTAGCAAACATTTGAAGTGCAGAGATAGAAAGAAAAAAAGAATAAGGACAAAGCATTGAGAGAGAAGGACTGAGACATGCCCAAATTTTGTATCTAGTTACATGTTCATTCATGTGCAATGAAACAATTTTGATTATCAGGTAACCCATAACTGAAAAATAAAATTAATAAAAAATATAATTCTAATTTCATTATTACTTACATTATTCTAAGTATCTTGGCTGACTCAATAAAAACAAAGGATTTTTTTTCCCCTGAAGAAGGAGTTATCATTATTAGAAAGGAGTAGAATTATTTTTGAATACATTTTATCTATATAACCATTAAGTTAATTGCATTAAAAAAATTCTTAGAATTAAAAATATTCTGTGAAGTTGGTAACTCAAAAAATATTTAAAAATTTATTTTCCTATATATGTCTACCTAATTTATGCCTCACATTTTCTATATCACAACAAAAAATAAAAACTAAGAATTATTCTACAAAAATGGTTTCTAACTATATGAAATGAAAGAGCCCTAACAAATTAATAGGGGAACCATTAGCACTCTACCAATAAAAGGAGTAGAGAACAGACGAACAAAATATTCACAGGAGAAAAACTACTGGCCAATTAAAGAATAAGAGAAAATGTTCTACCTATCTAGTTGTTACAGTTGTTGCTCTCTTGTGTAATATCCTCTTGTGTATATACACTAGTATAACCATCTCTTAAGATTATTTGACAACATATCAAGGTCCTGAAAAATTCATACCCTATGACCTATTAATTCTAGCTTTAAGACAATTTGCTATGGAAATAACCCAGAATTGACACATGCTCCAGCAGCTGAGAAGGCAGGAGGAGAATGAAATTAGAATATTTATTTCTAAAACCTCTCCTTGCAGCAGCGCCACCAGTTGGCTGTTTCCATCCACTTAAGGCCGCCGTTTTTACTGGGCTAACTTCTCCAGATTCTGGTTACAGCGCTCCCTAGGCTTGCTGACTGCCTCCTGAGGCCCTCTCAGTCCTAAGGCTCCCTGCTTTGCTTGCCGGTTTCCCTTAACCCTGCCTCTACCTTTGTAAATAGCCTCTTCATTAAGCTTTCCTCAATAATACCGCTTGAATATGATGTCTCTTTCCTGGTACACCCATAAAATGTCATATATCCCATATCATTGAAAAATCAGAAGACCTTGCAACAAAGGATACTTATTTTCACAGCGCAGCTGCTGAGTGGCTCCTAATTAGTGGGGCTCCGAATCCTCCTACGGTTTTACTTCTCTTTTTGCTATATTATTACTACCGAGCCCACTGCAGGCAAAACAGGGAGGGGCTCTCATCTATTTCACCAACCTGTGTGCAGGAGGAGGCATACTCAATACGGCTTTTCGATACATTGTCTGTAAGTTAAGAGCAGCTGTGCAGGCCTGAGGTAGAACTGCAGGGTGGAACTCTGGTTACACTGATTCCCTGGTGTTTGTGTAGCTGAGCTGAAGAGCAGAAAGGAACTCATTGTGTCTTTCACTCATGTTCTAAGTAACCATTTCCTCTGCTTCTGACTGTCAGCCTCGTTGAGTATTCATAGGTTTTGTTCATAATCTTCATAATTTATGTTTTAATTTTAAGTTAACTAGTAGTGATATATAGTTTTTGTCCTCAAATCCTCAGCAAAAGGAATTTCCTAAGTATTAGCTAACTCTGGGCATATTTTATCAAGATTCATTTGCCCAGTACACCTAACCTATAACTCAGTAATTCAACTCCTAGTTATCTGCTGAAGATAAATGAGTGCATCTGTCTGCTAGAAAACAAGTACAAACATGTTCATAGTCGCTTTGTTCTAATAGCCAAACACTATAATCAACTTAAGCGATCATCAAGAGCAGAATAGTAGGTAAATTGCAGTAAATTCTTATAATGGACAACTACACAGTGACTAGAAAGAGAACATACTATTGATTTCCACAATAGCACAGACGAACCAAGTTATGTTGCATAAAGAAAACCAGACACAAAAGAGCACCTGCTGAATGATTCCATGTGTAAGAGTTCGAGAGCAGGAAAAACTAACGTGGTGATAAACGTCAGAATAATTGTTGTCTCTGATGGTGGTATTGAAAGCGGAGGACGTGCAGTGTTGGAAATGTTCATAGATTGATCTGGGTGGTAGTTACACAGGTGGGCAGATACGTAAAAATTCATTTAGCTGTATACTCATGATTTTTTCATTTAATTCACCTTAGTTTATGATTTTTACCTCAAGTTTAAAAGGTTTTTTTTTATAAGGAGAGTTTTAGTTGTACAGCATATCAGGTAAGTAACACCTTTATGAACTTTTTTCCTTAAACAAGGCTTATTTTTATGAACATTGTTCCATATAGTATTACTTACAGATCTATTTCTTCATTAAATCTTTATAAAACCCATGAAAAGTTCAAAGAAACTACATAAGTTTCCCAAAGAACTAAATAAATGGCTTCAATAGTAAATGGTGGGGCCAGGCTTTGAATGCCTCATATTATTATTATCTTAGATTGAATTCCTGGAAACATACTTTAAGATAAAGATTAGTTTGTCGGGGGTTTATTGGGAAGTGCTCTTGGAAACAACATCCATAGGGGTGTGCGAGGAGCAAGACTGGGGAGAGAGAGGTTCAATTTTGATGCCGTTGCAACAGAGGCCTCAGCTAATTCCATCGGGGACTCTGGAGATGGGATGGCCATTTCCACTTAAGAAGGGACTAGGCATTGACAGGCCATTGGATGTGGTCTGAACCAGGGAAATAATCTTGAGTAGGACAATTCCTTCTGGCTGAAGGCAATTCTGTGGGCCGTTAGCAGCCAACACCCTTAGAAGTTGGAAGAATAAGTGCCTGAGCCCTGAAGGGAGCACTGAGGTGGGAGACTGGCACATCCTCTGCAGATACGGACAGAGCTCTGCTCATTACTGGGGACACGGAAATCTAATCCAAAAGAATGTTGTAACGACCAATACGAGGGTGATGAGAACGCAAATTACAGATTTCCTGCCCAATGGTATTTTTTATATATTGCTTCCAGGCTATCATTGACTTTTTTCTTATGTCACAAATATTAAGTATTAAAGACAATTATTAAAATGTCTAAGGTCTCTTCTTGCTCAAAATTAAGATAATAATGAGAAATTTTTAACAGTGGTTAATGGTTCCACATTCTATCTTTAAAAGTGGGTATTTATAATTATCGACCAACCATAATTTGTGTGTTAATTTGATTCGTGGAATAACTCGTACTCTATTGTAAATCATGGCTTTGTAAGAATTTCTGTAAGTGATATTATTCATATATAATAGATACCTGTCATTTAGTAAAACACCAGGACTTAAAAGATACTCAGATTTTATCTAATTTGTGACTAGAATGATTAGCTTCAATGAAAATTCAGATATAAATGTATTTGTATATAATAAAAATATAAAGTAATATACATTGAAACAGAAGATTTGACAAAGAACTTAAAGTGTTTTAGAGAAATTTAACAATCTCCAAAAGGACGATGGTATAGATTTTTTTTTAATTAGAGAAAGTATATCTCAGTTGTGGGAATCAGAGACTTTTTTCCTTTTCTGGTAATATGTTAGTATTTTCCAAAATAAGAGGTATTTCTTTGAGACCCAGAAATATCATTTCAAAACAAAATTTAAAAAGGTGTGGTAGTGATGGCTGGAATGAAGGATCATGTGAGGACTTCCAGAGATGACAATTATGAAAATTGAATAAAATATTATAAAACAACCATTTAAAGAAGCTTGAAAGAATCCAAAAGCAGAAAGAGGCCACATGAGAGTCCACACTTGAAAATCTGCAATTGGAAGGTGCAAGAATTATGGGAATGTAGGATTCTGGCCTGAGGACGCTCCCCAGTATCCAGGGCAACAGCAGCAGAATCTGGCAGGAGAAAACCTCATCCTTATCAGTTCCAGGCACTGGAGGTAAAAATTCAGGGCTGAAAAAACAGCCATGAATTTAAAGGGATAATTTTGGCAGCAAGAGAACTGCGGGGGTAATGATATCCAAAATCTGAGATTAACTCTGCCAAAACAATATCTGAAAGTTGAACTATATGTTCACAGGGAATACTCCAGAGCACCTAACGAGAAAAGAGAGAGGATATGACTGCACTGGGGCCAAATCTGTGAGTTTGTAACTGTTTTTTAGCTGAGTGCATTCCCCCAAGAGTGCACAGATTGAGTGCGTAGCAGAACACTGAAGCCTTTTAGGCTTGGGCAGAGCGTGATATCAACGGCTGCATGCCATGAAGAAGACAAATTTCACCGTTCGAACTCAGGTTAGTTACCTGCCCACTAGAATGTTAAACCAAAATCATCATAAGAACATAACACAATCCAGTTGCTACAATATTCAATTTTCAACCAAAAATTTCTAGACATGTTAAGAAACAGGAAAGTGTGACTCATTCTCAGCATAAAAGAATGTCGTAAGAATATGATTTTCACAAGACCCAGATGTTGGATTTAAAAAGATATAGCAGCTAATATACATGTTTTCAAAGAACTAAAATATTTTCAAAGAATTAAAGGAAGATATGGTTCCCTATGAATGAACCATGGGAAATTTCAACAATTTGAAAACTATAAAAAAGAAAAATGCTGAGCTGAAATGTGAAGTTAACTGTAGAGTTGGGCTTCTTTGCATCTGCCTTGCATATTCATAGTTCATTCTTA